CAGGCCGCCCAGGCCGCCCAGGCCCGCGAGAGCGCGCCTTGATGAAGCCGGGTGCCTTCAGGCTCGGCACATCCAGCACCTGGCCCGCAGGTAGCGGACTCAGCTCTCGTGAGCCGAAGCGGTGATTTGGATTGAGGTTGGGTTTCCCATTTACCCACAAGAAAAAGGGGGTTCAAGTCCCAATCCAAACCACGTAAGGGGCTGATGGACGGTATGGTTCCGAAAACGCAGGTTGAGTGCACAATCCCTTCCGGCTGAAACATTCGTTTGAAATTCCAAACCGAAAGATTCTCACCTGAGGGGTCAGATCGACCCGTCCAGCTCTGCGGCGCATCTCGTTGCCAATTTCTGGGACGTTTTGTTCCACCAGCGTCGGTTTGTTGTCTTGCCCTGCAAGACTACTTGGTTGGGCGGTCTTAGTGCGGGTCCTTGGCTCGAGCTGTTGGTTGATTTGTTGTTTCAAACCCGTGTTCACTTGGTATCGGCAACCTTTCGCCTATGGTATTATTGAAGCTGCCGCAGACAGCGGTCGCCTGCCAAAGGCCTCAGTTTGGGACATATTTTTGGGTCAGTCCCCACGGATAGTGCTTAAAACTCGCTCCCTCGCGACCGAGACCGCAAGGCCTCTCCGTCCATGACGCCCGCGGAGCTTGTGGCGTCCACGTGCCAGGTGCCATGCGATTGGCCGCCCATCACTGGGTCATTGAGCTCCTCCCATTCAGAGCGCAAACTCGTTGGACCCGTGCTCCCCTCCCACTGAAAGTTGGAAGGATCTGACCAAACTGATTTCCACAAATGCATTAGGCCCTTCGGCTCAAACTGATAGGCGCTGTCAATGGCTGCGCCCATTGGGAGTTGTTGGGGGCGCAGGTATTCCTGGGGTGTTGCCACAGTGATTCCGTTGCTGCCGAGCAAGAGAAGGAGACCACCCCCTTTCGGTCACTGGTTTTGAGGTGGATGCAAATAGCATCCCCCTAAAAATTGCCAGTTGGCCAATCGGAATGCACCAGGGAAGCTACAGTAACCCATCTGGAGCAAACTCCGAGGCAGGTGATGCTTCGACTCCGAGCTCCAAGCGCAATTTTCGCCTACATCGAGTACCGCTGCGGTGTTTTTGTTTTGAAACGCATATGTTGATTTCGCATTCTCGGGGCCCTCTTGCGTGTGCTTTTTTGGATTCACCCCCAGGGCCGGAAACAAGGCTCGTCACCTGGGCGTCAGAAGCAAGTGAATCCCCAAAAAGAAAACGGGCCTCGAGGAGGCCGTTTGTCTGTTTCGGTTTCTCCCCAGGCGTGAATCCAAAATAATCGCAAGGCCCTCGAGAAAGCCTTGGTTCCGGCCCGAGAATCCAGAAAGCAGCCCAGGGCGTGAGATCGAAAGTCTAAAACGAACTCAACCAACATAAAGCAGCGAATCGATGTAAAATCAAATACCAACACGCCGATTCCGTCAATTCCAGGCACCTATTGGCATTGGCTGAGAATTCTAAAGTAGCAACTCCGAAGAACTGGTTTCGACCTGAGGCTAGTGGCCATTGTTCGGGAAGCACGAGACCAAGGCCCAAGGGGATTCAAGCGAACATTCGGGCAGATTTCTCCCAGCTCCTGCCGGGTTAGATTCTGAAAAACATCCCAACGGGTCTGTCGTGCTCTGCTAGGTCCTAGGTATATGAGTGTCGTTTCTGAGGGGACCCCAAAATGCTAAACGGGGTACCCTCAAATAAAGACGAGCCACACATGTGCTCAAAGGGATGGTTAATGCCGGTGAGGCGTCCCTGCCTTGAACTCGAAGCTGGTCTTCGGGTCCTTACCAAAGGTGGCAAGCGGCACCTCCAGCCCCAGGGCGGCGCCAGCGCCCAAAAGCAGCAGACGGGTCATGGCCATCGTCCTTTGAATCGTGTGCTTGAGCAGGACTAGCTGACCCTAAATCAGATCGGAGACTGTCACGATAAAACTCCCTCCAAGGTGTCAAAGAACTGCATCCCGAAACTCCAAAAATGCAAAGACCCCCAGACTTGGAGCCGTTGTTTGTGCTGCCGTCGCGTTGTCAGAACCCTCCCTAACCCCCACGTCGTGGAAGTCCGTTGAAGGTATGCTGGGCAAGCGAGTCGTTGTCCCAGAAGGCTCGCAAGGAATGACTTGCTGGAGTCAAACGCTAACCCGCAAGCCCTGGCATGAACCGCGAATTCCTGGGTTAACTCAGCATAGGTGGGGCCTCCCGCCACCTTAACGCGCACAACGTGCGTCCGTAATTTGAACGTGGCCTACACATTCAGCCTGTAGGCGCGCAAGCTGTCTCAGTTTGGCCGCCGGGCCATCGCGGGCGGGTGGCGCGAAGAGGCTGTCCCTCGGAAGACTCTCATGGACTCGTTGGTCAGCTTGGATCAGCCCAAGCTTTTCCGTGTAAAATCCAAACCAACCAGCTGCAAGAAAAAAAAGAAGAGAAAAAACTCTCCGTCTCAAACGGAAGCGTGCATATGCATGTGTATATATACACATTTATATATGTGTATATATTATATATATCTACACATATGTATTTATTTATATTTAAATACGTGTATATATATATATATAAGCCACCCAGCAAAAGGGCCTTCAGGAACCGCTGCGCGTTTGCTAACTAGCACCCTTCACAGAAAGGAAAGCCAATCTAAGGTGAAGTTCCTGCACGCCTGGGATTTTTGTGACCATTTCCGCAATGGCCGCCGTCTCCTGGCAAGCCTCTCTGGCAGCTCCCGCGGCCAGCCCAATGCCTGCGGAACAGTGATGCCAAAGTGGCCACCATGCTCAGCAAACATCATAACAAAGCAGAAAGGTGTTGGCGCCGCATCGTTGCCGGCAGTCACGGCCATATGCAGCGAGGAGCAAGCACGGGCAGAGGTCCTTGCAGAGAGCACCCTCATGATCCGGAGCTGAGTTGTGAAGCAAGTGCGCGCTGAAACTCAAAGTTGTCCGCATATGACAGGAGTCGAGTAAACAAAGTTTGGCTTGGGGCAAATGCAATCTTGAGCAGGTACAAGTAGAAGTGGACCCGACTAGAAGGCGCACCAGTGGGCTTGTGCCAGATGCCCAGGAAAAGATACTGTGATCTATCCCTCAGCCAAGTTCTGTTCATAACAAATCTACAGCAGCCATGCACCCCCCACAAGGGTTCGAAAATGTTTCTGTGCACCATTCCGCATCTTGTTTTAAACACACCACAGAGGACCCATGCTTGCAAAACCTTCTTGGTTTGAGCATATGCTCTCTGGTTCGCAAAGTATCGCAATGACATTTGTTTTACCGCGAACAAGGACTGTGCATGGAAGGCGCTCCGGACATTTAATTGAAAGTGAGAGGGGACAACTCACCGTTGGAAACATCCAGCAACATTGAACCGATGCAAAAAGTGTTCTAGTGAACGACTGAGCTGCAACTGACATCACCATAGGTTAGCCGTTTGCAAATGGTCCAGTAATCCAAAACCATAGCTTTCGCATGAAAGCACCTTGATGCAAAACTGTCTTGGCGCAAGCTGCATGTTGGCCTGCACGTTGCGTTAGGTTCCACACGAGCATGTCTAAGCACCTGCAAACCAACTGAGCTGCGCGCTTGGGGCGCTCTTTGACACCTGGGCCATACAGCAAACCCAAAAACATGCACCCTGTCGCCCCTGCCAGTCGGCAGAAAACTCTTTGTTGAAAGACGAAGATTCTCTTTAATGTTGGATGGCAAACATATTGTCATACACAAAGCCATTCTATTAAAGATGGAATGGGAGAAAATACATGTGTAATTACTGTAACTCCCCAAAAATTCATTTGTCCATTCGGTAAACATAACCCATAAATGCAGTTCCCATTAAGAAGGTGTAGATCACAATTCCAGAAAACCAAGCATGTTGATTGTACAAACATGAAGCATAAGATATTGATTTTCCAGAAATAAACACAAATGATGCACCATTAGAATGAAGATGCGCTGCACACAATCCATCATATATGTGTCAATCAAAAAGAAAATACTTGAACATGTTGAACTAGTCAAAGGAAGTTTAACAAGAAACTTCCGTAGTACTGGAACTAAATGAGCTAGCTGCTTCGACATATGGCCATGACAGATAGCTTGACACATAGCTTTCACACATAGCTAGCTTGACAAATGGATATGCGCGAAAAAAGCTACGATAAATGCTGAAACCAGGAGAGCGATGGCAAGATGCAGAAACGTTGGCGCTGTGCGTGAATTGGGCTTCCGGACAGTGCGCAAACCACCTCGGTTGCGACGCCTGTACGGAGGCGGTCTCGGAACGGGTTCGGAACGGTCTCGGAGACGGGACCAGTGGCACGGCCGCGCGAAGGTTTCGCAAGGTGTGCATTGTGTGGCAGGCGCAGCACTTTCGCAAGGTCAAGTATAGATTTCGTGGCAGGCGCCGTACTTTCGCAAGGTGGGGGATGGCAAGATGCAGAAAGCGTTGGCGCTGTGTGTGAATTGGGCTGCCGGACAATGCGCAAACCACCTCGGCTGCGACGCTTGTACGGCATTGGCACGGCTGCGCGGAGGTTTCGCTCGGTGTGAACTGCGTGGCAGCCGCAGCACTTTCGCACGGTCAAGTATAGATTTCGTGGCAGGCTCCGAGCCTGACCAGGCGCCAGCTCGTCGGCGAGCACGCAGAAGAGCTTCTCTGGTACGCACGCTGTCGCTTGGCGTTTCGGCCGGAGATGATGCGCTGTGTGGGATCACACGGCCACGCTGGACGCGAGGATCTTTACCACGTGCGTCGCCTTGGCGTTTCGGCCGGGCGACGCGGTAGAGTCGCGAGAGAATGCGGAGCACGAGATCCGACCCCGCAAGTGGGCTGTGCGCTTCGTCGCGGCGCACGACGAAGCGTACTCTGGATCGACTGGCTCTCGCGCCGCGCACAACACCTTGCAAGTGGCGCTTCGCGAGACTCCGCTTACCTACTCGGGCTGGCTAAGCCACTCCTGCGCTTGTGCACGGCCGCTTCACTGGCTGCCCATGCATCTGCTTGTCAGACGCGAGCTTGGATGACGCAGGGCAAATTACGGCAGGTCAGGATCTGCCAGTCCAGTGCGGAGCTGTTACTGCGAGTGACGGCCAAAGATCCTGTGCAGGAGTGCAACGAAGCCGAGCACGGAGTAGCGCGAATCATCTTCGAGCGGCATGCAGACGCCACGCAGCCAGATTTCCGGGCGGACCTCATGTGGGTGGTCAGCGTCCGAGACAGCTTGGCCATCGCGCGACAGCGGCATGGCACGCTGTTGCGGGTGGTTGCGAAGCCTCATGTTCTGTTCGACACGGACGGCGAGCCTTCCTTGCGTCACTGGCAGGTGATCTTCCAGTTTCCGGCTGTGGACGGAGATATCGAGCCGTTTGCCCGCCGTCGGGCGTGGCAGCTTTCCTTGGACTCCCAGCAGCCTTGAGCTCAAGCGTCTGCAGCAAGACGCCATGGCAATGACTCCGTTCCAGAGTAAAAGAGGCTTTGACCTCGCCCAGCTTTTGTGCTTGATGACGCGCGTGCCGTTTCGGGCCGCGCGCTCGTGTCGGCGCACGCCGCGTCGGGCCGCGCACTCGCGCAGACTGCTGCACCGCTGAAGCAGACGAAAAGAAAAGCCCGGCTTTTGCGCTTGACACGCGTGCCGTTTCGGGCCGCGTGCTCCAGCCCAGACTACAGCACGGCTTGAGCAGACGCGGGGGGAGGGAGGAGAGTTGAACTTGAAGCGCTCGTTGGGAGCTTTGGAAAGGGAACAGAAAAAACAGCTGAAAACAGCACACAAACCCAAAAGAGAGAAAGACAGAGAGAACAGAGAGAAGAGAGAGAGAGAGAGAGAGAGAGAAAAAAAAAGAGAAAGAGAAAGAGAAAGAGAAAGAGAAAGAGAAAGAGAAAGAGAAAGAGAAAGAGAAAGAGAAAGAGAAAGAGAAAGAGAAAGAGAAAGAGGAGCAAAAAAATAAAGAAGCAAGGAGCCAAGAACAGCTCTCCAAATTATAGTTGTTCACTGCTTTGAAACTTCCGCCCCCCGGCTCTGCCGGACTTTACTAGTACCCGATGCTACCGGTAAACCTAAGAAGACTCCAGAGACAAGTTGTAATATATTAAAACCGAAAATATTACAAAAAAAGACTCCGAATATAGCGTGTGATGAGAGGACAAGGATGTCGTTGTAAACAACGTTCATTGGTATGTAACACAAAATACACATTCGTCGTAAGACTAATATAAAACAAGTAAGGGAAGGAGATAAGACATCAATACCAAAACAAAACAAACAAAATGAACACTAATCAATAATATAATATGATCCCTTTTCCTTCTTTCTATCCCATTATCTTGTTTGTCCCTGATTCATGAGCCAGAGGAATTCTCTCCAAAATTATCATGCCGCTTTCCTCGACTTTGCAACAAAGCCTTTGACTCACCTTCTCAAGGCCCCGGAAATCCCACCTCCCCCTCTGTCCCCGTCTTCCCCGTCCCCCGGCCTGTTGCCTCTGCAGTGGTGTCTGCCTGAAGGGGCCGAGAAACTAGCCAGGCCGGCGAGGTCCTGTCCTTGGGTTTGGCTGTTTCAGGAAGCAGTCGTTTGTGAGAAAGAAAGCAAAATATAAATAAAAGAGAACAAAAAAAACGCAAGGAAGAAAAAGATGGCGCTCCAAGCAGCCAGAATCTTCTTGAAGGCAGGTGGTTCCTGAGAAAACAAAGCTCATGAAGCCCGCCTCTCTGCTCTCGCGTCGCCGTCGCCGCTTTTCAGCTTTGGCCTCCGTAGCATTGTGTCTTGCACGAGAATATATGAATATGCAGTATTATGGGATGCGCTGGCATCTCTTATCGCCATGGATCACACAAACTCCTCTCAGAAAGCAAGGTGCATATCGACTTGGCCGCGATGCGAGACAAAATGATCATCCCTCTGGGCCCTTCCTGCCGC